AAAGTACAGGATAATTCTAGAAAGTAGAGAGCGTGAGAATCACATGATCTCGATGACGCAACAATATATATCATATCTGCAAGAATCAAAAACATTTTCCAAATTCTGTTTTGGAACATACTAAATCTGGTTAAGATCATGTGCTAAATGCAGCTTATAGTGTTACTTTGTATTGCAGGTCTGGTCAAGGAATCTGTTGTTTCATGAAATAGTTGTATTGTATCTTATTTTACTGTGTGTATAGAAGACTATTTTGTGACTGTTACATGGAGCAAAGTTACTTTTAAATTCTTTGGTCCATCTTTTTGATTGGTCAGCTACAGAAAGAATATGTATTGTGAATGCAGTTATGGAGCAGATTCATTTCTGTCTTGAACAAGTTAAGACTTGTTGTTGAAGTTTTGTGCATGTTATAACATTTTATTTGTTACTCTTAAAGATTGTTTAGTCATTTTTATTTCACTTTTAATTACAGTTTATTTTACTTTTAAGCTTAACATATAACAACACAATAGTCTTTTCCTCCTATATGACTGGCCATTCTTCTGTTTTCATCAATAAATACAAATGTTTATTTTTGCTTCAATTTCAAACTGAGTTTGCCCTTTTCATTCCACCAGTACAAATCACTATATATATCTTTCCACATACTACTCGTAGGTCCACAAATCTATAGGTATTGTGGAGATCAGGTAACTGTGTGCTAGGTTTATCTTTGATTTACCATAAACTCTAAGGAATTATCTGTTTTTACAGTTTTAAATGTAATTTTATCACGTAAAAGTTATCTTCTGTGATTCTGGAACGGTGTAAACAAATGAGTTGATTGTCATACTTAACAACCTTAAAATTGACAGTTTAGTTAAGCATTTCAGCATTTTACTTTAGTAAATCATTCCGTATCTTTCTGTGGCATTTTGCTGCTGCATGTGTTAGAGTTTTTCGTAAGCAGAGTATATTTATAGATATATATATATGTTTGGAGAGTGGATACTCTACCAGTTTTATTCATTGTGTACTGTTTTGAACTTATTGTATCTCGTTGATTTCTTTGAAAACATATCTGATTTTACTAAAGTGTAATATTTAAATGGTAGGGGACAAAGTTTGAAACTATTTTGGTGTATGATAATTAAACTGACTCATTAAATATAGTTATTAAAACAAGGCTTTATCAATAATAATGATATGGCTATAATATATTTTCATAAATTAAAGTTAACAATGTTAAGTTTCCAGTAAATAAAATAATCAGAAATAATCTGAAATAATACTTACATTAAACTGAATTACAGCTTTATAAATAATGTAGAGAGTATAATATGTTCCAAAACTATACTATACTATATCTCTCACTCATAGCTATCTTGATCTTCGTTTGCTCTCTAGACATTAGTAAATCTTACGAACAGCACATCAGTCTTTTATACTCCTATATTTTTTGTGTCATTGCAGCAACATGTGCTAATCATGTGACCATCCTCCACCAATTCTATTGCACCATCTATACTAGCACAGGTAGCTCCCTCTACCATTACAGCACAATCTTCACTTTCTCGATTGACACTACTGTGTTCAGACGTGTGTTTTCAGTTGTTTTTCAACCAAATTTTGCAACGTTTTTGTGTATTTTCTTGTTAGTTTACACTTTTAGTTGGATAGAGATTTTTGTCCATCCCTACTGATCCTGGATTCTTACAGTCCGGGTCTTTCTGCTTTTCAAAATAAGGAAACACAGATACCCATTGCACTGTCTCCAGTGGGTCATTCCTCCAGATCTCCCAATTCGTCTCTCCCCCTCTTTCTTCTAGTGCAGCACAGGGGTCCTTGCCACTTCCAGTTCCCAGTCACTGGAGAGGTGGACTGTGGAAGTTTCCTCATGAGTGGGTATTTTACAATAACAAAATCTCATAGCCATACATACTCACTCGATGATAAGAGGGCTGTCGTCATTATGCTGCCTATTATACACACATTATGGCACTATGTCTATTATACAAGGTGCTTTCACTGGATGTTTTCTGCCTGGATGGACCACACTTGGCATAATCCAATGTATACCAAGGGGCTTCCCCCAAATGCTTTTGCCTGGGTGGACCTCATTTGACTATATTATTCTAAATCCAAGGCACTTCCTCTGGAAGTTTTTGCCTGGGCAGACTGCACTTGTTGATTTTACAAACTTATGCAAGGAGCTTCCATGTTTTTTTGCCCTTGGACTGCACTTGGCATAATATGTTGTATCCGAAGGTGCTTCCTTTATCCCTAGCCACGTATTCTCATCACTTCCACCCTACATGTCTTCTTTACTAGGTGAAGAGCATACATGTTCAAGAAGTACTGATATACCCCACAAATGTACCTTGTATTTTAATAGTGGTATACCTGATTTCTTTTTTTCAAAGTGGTCGCTCTCTGCTTGATTATTTGTTATTACAGTTTTGGAAGTTAACATTTTCTAACACTGAAAATGTATTTCCGATAGGTACTTACCTCCTCTCACCCACTTCCCACCCCACTGATTTGCTGGTGTTTTCGGGTTAGTATATACCAATTCTTGAAAGTGAGGATTGTGCTGTAATGGTAGAGGGCACAATGGGATTGTTGAAGGGTGGTCACATAATCAGCACATGTTGCTGCAATGATGCCAAAAATATAAAGTATAAAAAGACTGGTGGGCTGTTCATAAGGTTTACCAATGCCTAAAGGGTAGATGAATGTCAAGATAGCTATGGGTGGAAGAAGGCACTATCGGAAATACATTTTCAGTGTTAGAAAGTATTAACTTTTATAGTACTAGCTGAGAAATGCAGCTTTTGATAGGTTGATCATAGAGAATGTAACCCAATGTAACTTCATGTACATCAAAATATCCTGTTTCTTAAGAACACAGTATGATAACTTACTCATTTTCTATAATTGATAACCTGTAAACCTAGAATTTGTTATTTAGTTGAATCAGTATTTTCTTCTGTTTTAATTATATTTAGGACCTGATGGCCCAAGAGGTTTTCCAGGATTTCATGGATATTCAGGTAGAAAAGGGGAAACTGGAAAGCCAGGTATACCTGGTTTTAGAGGAGCTCCAGTAAGTTTTTATCTTAAAAACTGAACATGTTCTTTGTTTAATTTACTGTATGTTTTTGTCACAAAATGTTTTGAAGGTTTTTTTGATATAATAATAATAATAAAGGAACAAGTATGTGGTCAAAGTGCTTGTAATAATAGGTTGCTTGTGATTGATAAAATATATTACTTATGTAATGCATGATTATAAGAGATGCAAAGTTTATATGTTCTTACTGTTCATGAATCTTATATTAATGATTTCACACAAACAAAAAGAAAATACTTGAAAGTATAGTGCCCTAAATATAGAAAATGATTATTTATGCAAAACCTTTCAAATGAAGGCTATCAAAGAAAAGTTTAGGAAGATAAGATGTGGTGATAGCTTCTTTTAGTAAGATGCACTATGTAATCACACAGTTAAATTAACTACTACTATCTTATTTCACAGTGTTGATTTATTGTATCAAATGGTGGACATTTTGTATTTCCTTGTGTGAATTAAAAGCATCTTCTTACTTTAACTACAACCTTTTCTTTCAATTATGTATTAAGCTGATATAGTTTAACATGATATGTTAGTGCTTAAATTCTTAAATGCACGACTATATCATTGTAGGTGTGTTTGGAGCAAGCATTTGTTTTCATTCAATAGAATTAGTATTTAATAATTTATCTTATACAAAGAAAAATCTTACATATACATAGGGTCGACCAGGGTCTGATGGTATGGAAGGAAGAAAAGGCTCTAACGGTGAAGCTGGAGAGTTGATATATCTAGGAGCTACAAAAGGAACAAGAGGACAACCTGGAGAGGTTGGTTTCCCTGGGGTTAATGGAATCCCAGGAGCACAAGGACCACCAGGTCCAGAAGGTTTTAGAGGGTTTCCTGGAGCCAAAGGACAGCAGGTAATGTTTCTTTTACCTCATGTGAACCAAGTATGTCATTCTTGTTGACTAAAATTTATTTGTTTCATAAATAATAGATTTGATAATTGTGTTTTCAAGTTTTGCTTCACTTGACCTTTTGAGTACAAAACATTTTCAGCAACATTACTAATGTCTGGTTACATATATAGGAAGTCACTTGTCTGTTGTTCTTAGTAATCATCTGTTTAAGATAATCTATGTGTTCAATGATATCATCTTAAAACAAAAAAGTTTAAATATTGAAACCTCTACCATGAAAATATATTTAGCAAACAATAAGAAGTATTTTCTGCTGTTTGTAAAACCAAAGATTAATATGTTTTACTAAGCTCTCTTTGTAGGATTTCAATTTGTTATAGCCACAAGTGCAAGCCCAATAAGGTGATTAAACAATTAAGAACTTATTCAATGACTCAATTTTCCAGTATTTGATGCTTATTACAAAGCAGACACTAACCCCTAAGATGCTGAAAACTGCAAGGAATCATTTCAAAACATGTCCCATAATGCTAGTAATGAACAATATTTCCCGCAGCTTTGCATCTGTGACTTCAAAAGTAAAAAGACAACAAATAAACAATTAATAGGCTTTTCTGTATCTAACTAAGTCTACCAGTACTAAAGTGTATTTATTGGAATGCGGTTTAGTTAATTCAAGGTATTAAAGAATAAGAATGGATTTCAAAACATTATTGATAGAAGTTATTCTTCTCTAAAAAGAAGAAAATTAGAAAAAAATATTTGGTAATATTACAGATTTTAGTAAGTATACTAATAATAGTTGGCAAAACTTGCCACCTACACAGCTGTTATTGACTGAATAGTGGTATTAGCTGTTATGAGTTGTATTATTTTTTATTATTTCTTTTATTTTGACTATTTAAATCTCAGGGAAACTTTGGAGATGATGGATTCCCTGGTTTTGATGGTCTTCCTGGACCTCCAGGTCTTCAGGGACCTAAAGGGAAAGAAGGGGATGTTCTTTATGCTACTAAAGGTTTTAAAGGAATTCATGGTGAACCTGGTGTTGATGGCCTTGATGGTGTAATGGGAGAAAAGGGTGAGTGCATGTTTAATTATTAAAACTACAATATAGATAAGAATTAAGATATATGAGAGAGATATGAAACAATCCATGATCTATAGTGGATAAACGTGTTGGACATAATGTGAACATGTGGTAGTTGAGGAACCTTATAATAAACAGTAGAAGGTGTACATATGGTTTAGAAATGTTTTGACATTAATTATCATATTTAATTCTGTTTGAATAATTGATTATGAAAAATAGACACTGAATATTTATGTAAAACTAGCTTATTATAACTAAGTTGGTCAAAGATAGTGCTAGTGTACTAATTAAGCAGTTCTTCTAACATGGTTGATTTTATATGTTATATGTTATACTTAGCATAATGTTTAGTTTATGCCTAAGAAAAACATACATCCATTATTAAAGGTTACGAATGTAGATGAGTGAAAAGATATCTCAATGGATAGAAGCAATTATATTCATAGATGATGTTCATATGTTTAAAATCCTGTGTATATTGTAGTAGAAAATTTATTTGCAAAAATAAGAAATGGATAGATATATTTTATTGAAAAGCTGAAAAATAGAAATATCATACTTGTGTTTTTAAAAGATTATTGATAAATCATACCATTTTTTTCATAGGTAGAAAAGGAGAACCCTTTTCTTTGGAAAAACTAGAGAGAAAGGAAGAATACCTTCGCTTTAGAGGTTCTAAGGGTGATCGTGGTATACCTGGTTTAAAAGGAAAGAGAGGTATAGAGTGGACTGTTTTTCACAAAGGATATTATAAAACTAACTAAATAAATAAATTAAAAGTAAGAACAGTGATAAAAGAGGAATACTTATTAAAGTTGTTATAAAATTCTAGTTTTATTTTGTGAAAAAGTTGCTACGGAAGTATGTCAATTAATTTAAAACAATTTAGATGACCTGTTTAACTTCTGATCTATATAATTCAATTTCATGGAGGCTTTTGTTTAACTAGTGTTTATCTTTCTATTTACCCATTTGTGTTTATTTACTTTGCATAAAAATCATGTTCTTTTAATTTTTTGAAAATTTAACCGTTCCACATTCAGATCACATGGTTTGTAACAATAATAGATTTAATTAATACAAAATTAAACATTTGATGATATAAAGTCAGAAGCCAAATAGTAGTAAGAAAGCAAAACTGTAGCTAGCATTGGATCACAGAAAAACTATTTATATACTGTGGTTTGTAATTCACTTCAATCATTTTATCCTGTCAACATATACTTTTGTAATATATACTGTGGTTTGTAATTCACTTCAATCATTTTATCCTGTCAACATATACTTTTGTAATATATACTGTGGTTTGTAATTCACTTCAATCATTTTATCCTGTCAACATATACTTTTGTAATATATACTGTGGTTTGTAATTCACTTCAATCATTTTATTCTGTCAACATATACTTTGGTAATATATACTGTGGTTTGTAATTCACTTCAATCATTTTATCCTGTCAACATATACTTTGGTAATATACACCTGGAAAAAAGTTAAGCACCCCCGTGTTTTTTTCAAGTGATTCAGATTCGACGTTCTTGTGACTGATTATAAATTACCATTCAATCTAAACGTGTTTATCAAATGAAATTATTCATTATTGGGCACAAGAAAACAAGATTATCACCGTAAAATAACAATTTTTAATTTACATATCATGACATCAAAATATGG